TCCAGCTCGGGTCCTACGAGGCTGCTCTTGCTCCTGCAGGAAAGCAAGGCTTGGGGCAGTCAGTTATGATGCTCCATCCACTCTGTCCCCTGTTTATGGACAAGAAGATGGGAGGGCTCACGTTCTACGTCTGCATTCCCGAACTTGGTGGATTTTTGTTTTTTTCAGTCAGCTACTTTTGACCGTAGGACTGTGAGAAGACAAGCCTGAGTAGGTTACAGGAGGGGACTGAGTTTAAGCTTTACTCCTTCAGTACTTTTTCTTAAGCTTAAACTCATTCCCCTCTTGTAACCTTGATAGCTTAATTTGCTGCATCCACTTCTGTGCTCACCTTTCGCTGGAGCACTGCACACGCACTGACCACGGGTTTTATAGCCAGGAAGACAAGGGACTGCTCAGGACCGTGTGCCTGAGACACGAAGTGCTGCAGGCAAGAGCCTGGGGGTGCAGCCCCCCCAGCAGCACCGTGCAATGGCCCTGTCCCCATTTGGCACTGCAGGTACAGCATCATGCAGGCATGCTGGAGCCTGGAGCCCACCCAGAGACCCACCTTCGACCAGATCGGCTGCTTCATTCAGAAAGAACTGGAGGTGCATAAGGAGAAGGTGAGGACCTTTGGAGAGGAGAAGGGGGCAGATGGGCTTCACCCCCTGCATGAACATAGCTCCTGGACAACCCTCCTGGTGCTGTCTCTTACCTTTAACTGATGGGAGCAGTTTACTGGTGGTGGAAAGCGCAGCAAGGCATCCAGATTTGCCCATGCTGAAGGGTTAAGTCACTCCCCACCACGACCAAAGGAGGCCGGACGCAGAAACACAGCTGCTTTGCAGCAACCTCGACGAGTATCGATATGGGTAGCGCTACAGCAGCAGCCCTGCCCCGTGCCCCTGCGTTCAGCATGCAGCTCAACACCGCGCTGCCTCGCGACGAGCTGTCCTGCAGCTCTGTAACGCACAGCCTGGCCCGTCCTGCCGGCTGGCCGAGCTCTGCGGGCACAGCACAGGGTAGTGTTGAGTTAGCATCCCCAGCCCATCATCCGTGCAGAGACAGATGTCCTGCACCATCCAAGGGACTGAAACACACTGGAGGGGCTTTTCATGTTTTTGCTTTGAAGGACTACACCAACCTCCCATCCACTGCTGAGGCAGACAGCGGCTGCGATACATCTGGCTGCTGTGAGGAGTCCTGCGAGCAAGAGGAGAGTGGCCAGCCCCTTCTCAAGAGCAACAACTACCAGTTCTGTTAGCTGGTACCACCGCCCCGGGGTAGACCCCTGCCCTCCCGGCTCTGCAGAGCGCACGGCTCTGCTCTGCCCTAGGACACAGATGCCTTCTGCTTTGGCTCTCCTCTCGGTGCTTTCTGAAGTATGAGCGTTACCGACTCCCTCACTGCAAGGACAGCGCTGGAGTGACTCGAAACCAAGACTTGCCACGGGGTCCCTAAAGTCTTATCTCCAGCCTAGTGTAGAGTTGTTAGGATGATAACGTGCTCCATCTCTGCAAGGTACAAAGAGTCCCTGTCGCCTACCTTCCCCCAGAGGAGGCTGTGGGGTGTTGGGTTGTTGTAGTTTTTTTTATAATACAAATTGCAGCCAAGTAAGGTATTTCCAAAAGCCCCTCACATGACTGAATCCTTGTGTTCTATGAGCACATCTTGAACTTCCAGTCCCCAAAGCTGGAGCTGCTCCCCACACCAGCAGCAGCCCTCTTTCTTGCTGGTCCTGCTCCCTTCCCTTTGTCAGTCTGACCCTGGATGTTGCAGAGTGAGTGTTCAGCTATAGGTAAAGCCTCTACTTAGCAATAAATATGCATTAACCTCTCAATTCCTCATGCAATCTACCTCTCTGCAGCTGATGCTTCTGCAGGGGTTGTTTGGGTGCAGCGAGCCAGGGAGCCCACCACCCCAGGGTTATGTGAATTTGTGCCCAGTAAGAGGACAGAGGGGCAGTTATTTCTCAGGTAAAACACAGAAGTAACCAGCGCTCTTCCCTGTGAGCGCTGCACACAATCCCAATCCAGGAAAGAATGGCAGCTCGAACAGATCTGGAAATGATCAATGTAACACATATCCTACAAAACTTCTGAATTATTAAACATGTAGCAATCACTGCCTTTGTCACAATTACAGATATGCTCTTGTACATATTTTCCTGAGTGTATCTTTAATAGTACAGCTGAGGTATTTTTTTTTTTCATAAGCTAGGGCCTAATGCCCTTAAAGTTATTTCTCATTTAGCTCTTGTTCAGGGATACTAACACCACAGCCACCCAGTCCTGTGTAGCTATTGGAAGTAGCTAAAGACCCTTCTCAGCTTCACCTGGGTGGGTACAGGATCAGTATTCCAGGTACAAGCACCAAAAGGGCTCACACCAACTACAGGGGGACAGAACTACTCTGTTGCAGTGGCCTTTGTCATACTGTCAGCAATTATGTTGTGTCCCACTTCTGATTCTATTAAACCTGGTTTTATACTAACACCAAGCGATTCATTCCTCCTTACTAAATAAAAAGCTAATTCATTTCTATCTGTCAGCATTGTAAAGAATAAAATAAAATGTTTAACAAACAAGTCTCTTCTAGGGCTTTAAGGACTGTTCTCAGAGGGGAACGGAGCACAGCGTGGGTGGTGCACTGACCCATCCTCTCACACCCTGCAACTCTGCTCCAGTTCCTCAGACACACTTCTCATTACCAGTTCTCAAAACCATTCAATCCTGTGTAATGCAAAAAAAACTTATTAAAAGCAAGGTTCTAAAGCACTTAGCTCTGACTGGCCTGTCTGTAACCGAGGAAAAATGAAGTAGTCACCATGCACGGATATAACAGGGCAGGAATTTTGATTGTGATGATGAGACATCTGACAGCGGTCACTGTGCCCAAGACAGGTGTGTGGCAGCAGCCTGCGGGGAAAGGCAGTGCAACGCCAAGGGCAGCGTGGAGGCAGAAGGGCCCTGGTGACCAGACTCCAGCTTACTGCAGCGAAACCTCCAGTAGCAATGCTTTAGATGCAGCAGAGCTCCAGCCCCAGCTGTTAAACACATCCTGGAGAGACATCACTGTCACCTGCTGCAGACTCTCTCCTGTAAAGGTCACCTCAGGAGCTGCCCTGTGCAGGGAAATGCAGAACAAAAGCAGGTTGCCATCTGCAGATGCTACTTTCTCCCCACCATTAAGTGGTTATTATAGTTATAATAACAGTTATATTTAGCATGCTGATTTTTGACACCCTGGTGAGGTGGCCTGAGCACTTTTGTGAGCTGCTCCTCTCAGAACACCTTACTTCTGAGAATCCCAGGCTCTCCCCCCAGTGCAGACGGGAATCGGGGTGCAGGTGCACACAGTGTTTTTGCCTTTTACCAATGCAGGCCTCCAGGTCTTGTACACACACAAAAAAAAAAGAAGGGCACTGGGGCACAGTTTCACCCCCAAAACTGGAGATCATTTATTAAACTTTTATCACTGACTGAAAAAAGTCACTAATGTCTCTTATAATAAGTTAATGTTCTTAACAGAAAAACCACAAGCCATAATTCCTGCATTTGCTCAGACTTAATACACTTACTTTAACAGTACGGTACTCATAGGCTCCCCTTCAGAGAAGGGAGTTTTCAAACCACACCGCAAGCCTCTGAATCTTCCCCACTGCTCACTCCGACAAAATAAACTCCCTGGCTGGCAACTTTGCAGTCTAGCATCCCACTCCTCTGCGGGTCCACCTTCACCGTCTTTGCCAGCAACGGCAAAAGGGAGCTGGCAGCAGACAGCGCACACAGCTTTCCAGCCGCAGCCCAAGGTGCTCTTCAGACAGGCTGTAGGCGCAGAGGCCTCAGCCCGACTCCTCCGAAGGAGCTGATAAAGCAATCTGGGCAGCAGGAGACCCCCCTCACCCACGCAGCGCTGTGTGGACACGGGCAGGGCAAATACGACACCTGACAGCGTGCTGAGCTGGCACGCGTGGATGCAGCTCTCCCAGTGCCCCCACTGAGCGAGGCACACCGAACCCTGCTCGCTCGGTGACGCTGCATTCATCGTTTCTCCTTGATCCCACAGAGTGTCTTTGTGATTCTGTTCTAAGGAGAGTAGACCAGAAACTCAAATCCTTGAACAGAAGGAAACCGGTAAAAAAAACCCCAGAAAACAGCGTCCAGGAGGACAGCACAGAAATTCTGAGTGTCCTTCCCCTTCCCACAGCCATCGCCTTACACAGCGCTCGCACAGCCCTCCAACAAGCTCGGTTCCCCTGGGCTCGCCCGGTCAATTCTTAACACGCAGAACACTCTTCACTCACTGTATGTTTCAGCTTCTAAATTATTAGTGCTCACGTGAAGGGAGACAAACAATTCTAGAAACTTTCTGCAGCTGAAGCATGCACGATCCTGGGCCCACGGTTGCAGCCTCCAGGGAGGCTCCCCAGATACAGCATGTTAAAGCTGCATGGCTTCTCCTCCTCCTCAGCTAGACTCCTTGCAGCCAATGTGTATGAAAGCTCTGCAAGGTTTCCAGCCAGGAGTCAGTGTCCTAAACTAATCTATTCGGAACGTTTTGGGGGAAATCCTCTTAAGCTGTCTGCCTTTCATGCCTGCTCCCACACCCCCAGCCCTGCCACCAATATGCACAAAGAAGCCAGCAAGCAAGATTCAGAATTAAAAAACCTGTGTGCTCGACCACAGATGACACCAGAAATGTCTCTCCCTTCTCCCCTCGCCAGCTGCTGGGAGGGCAACATTTCACACCACTGAACAGCGGGTCCATCGCACACCTCGGGAGGCATTTGCAGCCTCCAGCAAGGGGGGTGACAGACCCACGCTCGCAGCAGCTATCATGACACTACGGAAGCACGCAGCTCTTTGGTCATTAACAGCAGTCAAAGCCACCAGCATCACATCTCCAACCTGTAAAAATAAACTCTCAAGCCAGACAGCTGCCCAAACCTTGCAGAAGATGGCCCAGCCCACCCATACACACGCCCAGAGAGAGAAACCAAGAGGCTGTTTCGTTACTCAACAACCTCTGTAATCCTCCTGTTTTCCCTCTTCATCCTCTTCCGTTTCTGTTTTAATCTGGGCCACCCCGAGCCGGTACAGAGCATCGCGAATTACCACCTCCCCGGGCTGGCAGCTCTGTACGATCTCCTGGATCTGCCGATTCACGATCTCCCTGCTGGTGAGGAAGTCCATGAGGCGGTTGTAGAGGTAATAGTGCGTGGCGTTCTCGAAGGTGATGGGCCTTTGGCGGATGTTGCTAGTTTTGCTGTCGCTGATAGCAGCGATGACGGCGCTGTAAGGCTCCAGCTCTCGGCACAGGGAGATGCAGTGATGCTGAGCCGTTGGATCTCGGTGGCTGTTCTGCTCCGAACCCATGTGAACGATTCGGCGCGCCGACGACTTGGTGATGGGGTGCTGAACAGAGTGCTCAGCCACGGTCACGTCTACGCTGTAGTGCTGGTCTAGCAGTTCAGGGCAGGACACATACTGGGACAGAGAGACACACACACCAGGTAGAGCAAGATGCAACTTCCCCACAGCCAAGAAGAACAAGACAAAAACACCATTCTGCTGAACTCCAGCCAGCACTATGACCCAGGACAGAGGGAGGGCTAACTGATTCAGACTTCCCCTACATGCCACAAAGGTGGTTCTGTACACTACTTCCTCACTCGTGTGCCCTCAGAGATAATCCCAAGGCACCAGCAACCCTCTTCCTCTGTCACTTCTCAAGTAATAGCAGTAGTTTAGGAGAAGCAGGTTGCTGTGTCAAAATGAACGACATGCTCCAAAGTTCATGATTTGAATTGTTACAATGCACTTCCTATTAAGAAGCATGAACCTAACACAATGCCCCAAGCAGCACGTAATGCCTTCTGCTACTCTCAGGTGCTATGAGCTGGCAAAGTTGAGTCAGGAGAAACTTCTCAGGTCAAATTATCTTGAGGCACAATGCAGGTTACACACTTTTTAAAAATCTTTTTTTTATTTTAAATCTCACTTGAAACCTCTCCCTCTTGGACTGGCACAGCAGAGTGCAAAGCTGGATGTAACTAACCGTTGGAGGCTCCATGGGGTCAGAGAAGCAGCCCTGGTTTTTCCCCCACATCTGGGAAGTCAGGCCAGGACAGCAGACGTCTGCACACAGTGCCACTGAAGAGGCTGTATCAACAACATACACTGGAGGCCAGTAACGTGAGGAAACCAACAAGTCCACGTGATCCCGAGCGTTTTCTCCTCTTACTATGTACTTTGAGCCGCACACAACCTGGAAAGAAAAGGATTAACATCAAACAGCACAATAAAACCAAAAACTTTTGGAGAAAAATATAGTCTTTAAAAAACTAAGCTGCCTTTCAGGTATTCCAGACAATACAGTAACCAGACAGTTGCTTTCTCTTAAAGACATTTTGGTTCCTCCTCACACACATTCACTTTATCTTGTTCAGGAAAAGGTGATTTTCAGCTCCACCTCAGCAGCAACATCAAAACCAGGTTTCAGATCACTAGCTGACCCTGAAATCTCCTGCAGGACTGCTCGTACTCCAAGCCCCCGAGGCAGCACGTTTCATTCCCAAGGCTCAGAGGCCCACTCCACTGCTTCTACTTAACGAGGGAGTTCCACACGGGTAAGTCAGATAATAGTGAACAGCAAGGTAAGAAAAAAAACATTGCTGACTCCAGCTTTGCTTACCTGATGTGGACACACTTTGTAGATCTTCCCTCCTGTGTGATGAGCAGAGGCTTGCGTGATGCTTGTCCCATTCTGTACAAACTCATAGAGATCCAGGAGGGAGAAGGAGAGCTGGTCCTAGAAAAGCCAGGCCCCAGAGAAAGTCTGAATTAACGGACTCCTCCAGAGAGTGAGAAGGCTGCAGGCAAAGTCTTCTAAATCCTAATTTGCACTTCACCCAATAACTTCCTAATCCCACACTCGGCATCCTGAGGATGACAAGCAATTACAGGATGCTGAGCCCGTGACAAGGTAATTACAGGCTTCCTTTCTTCTAGCCCACAAAGGTTCAATTTATTTCACCATGTGCAAGTTATCCTACAGTCTACAGGCACTCATCTCCACCCCACCCCAGGCCCTTAGTACAGTCAGATGAGAAGTTAATTATCTAGAATGGCAAGTGTGAATGAGGGAAAGACAGCAAAGAACAGTTCCACCTCTGCAGGTTTGTCTGTGGGCAAACAAGCCATTACCTTTGTATGTGAAGCTTCCCAGGGGATGCCACACCGTGTCAGAAAGCTCTGCAGCTCTTCCTCACTGTAAGAGCTTATCAACTCAAGCCTGAAGTTTTCTTCCTGGAGGAGCCTCACCAAGGCACTCCCATTACCTGCAAAGGCAGTAAGCAAGTCTCAGCACTCATTCTCAGGAAGGGAAGTCACCAAAATAACTGTTTCTGAAGGCTACAGCAGCAGAGACTGCGCAACCAACTGCCAGCAAGAGAAAGCCGTGAATAGGCCTATGTCCCAAGAGCGTCACAGCCCACACTTCTCTCGAACCCTTCCATAGCGAGGTCACCAGACTGAGCCCAGCAGAGCTGCAGACTCCATGAGCACTTGTCTGTCCTATCATTTGTAACCTTTAAATGACTGGTTGGACTGATGTGAGGATAAACAAGTGACAGAAGAGCACAGACAAACATGACTGCAGCCTTCAGACTGAGGAGCTCCAGGCTTACCCGTTGCATCTCCTCCCTGGTTCTTTCTCTGGAGTTCCACTTCCACGAAAGGCCATGTAGCCCTTCTGCAGCTCAACTCTGTAAAACAGCTGCAGCCATCTCTGCAAAGCCAACTCATACACTCCTTAAGCTTGCAAAGCCAGTTTTTCTTCTGAAACCTAATACCTAACTGTTATGAGAATCAGGTGCTAACTAAATTTAGCTCTCACACATCTGACTTTAACCATCTCATGGTTTCTTCTTACCAGCAGCCAATGCCCTGGATACACTGAATGTTGACCACACCGATCAGGACTAACACATCCATCTCCTAGTCTTTTTCCAAGCTCTGTAAAAACTTCCTCATCCTTTACTGAGATACCAAGCACCACCCGCAGCTTTCACAGTCCAAGTATCAGTTTAACACAAATTAAATACTGACTGGCATTCAGGTTCTGCACGCATCCCTCTGCAATCAGACCATATCTCATTTGGGGTGCAATGCTCTCATGTCCCCCTTGTCTCAAATGCACCAGGGCACACCAGTGCATTCAAGCTTCACTGGGCAGGCCAAAGCTCAAGCTGCTAAGCACTTTGGGAAGAGCTGAACTCACCCCAGCCTTCTTGCCTTCTCTCAGCAGACACAGCATTTAAAGAGTCATGAAATCACCAGTTCTCAACTCCTAACATCACCAAAAGACTGGAGTCACTGTCACACAAAGCACTCCCTTAACAGGCACAACCTCAGCGGTTACCTGGCACTGGCTGTGCATCCAGCTTCTTGTCCTTCTCGGTATTGATCACCATCACTCCTCTCATCAGTGGAGGGAAGAAAGGAGCAACAATAGAGGCATCAAACTTTGTGATGGGGATGCTAGAAGGAAAAGCCATCTGCTCAATCACCTCTGTCTCCATTGTGGACCAGAAGTCTTCTACATTCACTTCACTGGATGGCAAGAATTCTGGCCAAGTAAACTAGAAAGAGTGAGAAACATACTGGTCAAACACAACTAACCACAGTCCAATCGACAGTTTTGTGTCAGCCCCACTCCAGGTACGAGGACTACCCAGGAGAGTGCTCAGCCCAAATGTAACAAGATGACTTCGGGCTCCTAGAGGTCCCCACAATTGCTTTTGGCTGGGTGAGAGTTGAAACAGTTTGACATGAAAGCCAGACATGCTACATACTACTAGTAGGGCTTTTTTTCCTATTAGAGAAGGCAGCACCTCAAGGAAACTGCTGTTGGGGAAGAAGAAGAATGCTTTCATGTCAAAGGAAGAAGGCCCAGTTCAGCAACTTTCACCCAAGGTCCCCACCGTCAGCGGCTGCTGGACAAAAGCTGTGGTCCACAGACAGAGGATCTTGTTTTCCTCAAACCATACATCAACACCTCTAAAGGGAAGTGCAGGCACCAGCAGAAAACTGCTCACAAGTCTCGTGTAATTATCATGCATCACGAAGACCAGAGTCAGCAAAAGTCACTGTGATCTGCTGTGAACGCAAACAGGATGTGAAGTTTGTGAAAAGCCTACCTCTATATTTTTCAGTGCCAGGACATTTTCCACATTCCTCTGGGCTATTTCCACCTTGGGGGTTATGCCACAGATTCCACAGATCATATCATTGTAATCCCGGACCGTTAAGCACTCAAAGGCCCAGTAGCCATTGCACAGCAGTTCCTGGAGCTGAACTTGCTCATCAGGGCTCAGGTTTTTTTCTGAAAGACAACAGGCCACCATTACAGCTTTCACTCCCTAAAGTCAGTGGAAAGGTAGCACAACTCCCCTATGTAGAAGGAAAACAAACCTGTCCTCCAGAGACACACTACAAATAACCGGTCACAGAGGCACTGCTGGGTTTAGGAAGTGATTTAACAGAAACATACCACACCAGAAGAGGTTAGTTTTGCCTTTTTATAGCCTAACAATCATCAGCAGGTCACAGTTTGGTGTATGTGTTACAGTAAAACACAAGAAAGAAAACCCACCAGTTTGCTCCTGAACCGAGTCAAGGATATTGCCAACAGCCACTCTGGGATCCTCTCCAAGTTTAATGTGGTTTCGGATTGCAAACAGAAGATCCAAGCTCACTAGCAGCTTGTTACCCACATTGAAAAGGCCTGCAGTTAAAACAAGACAGTTATTGTCTGTAAGGCTCCAGATCTTCCTTGCAAAGAAATAAATTCCTTACTGATACGCAGCATACAGTTCAGAGGGTAATGGATACAGCTGGATAGTGCTTCTGGGACTGTTCCCTCTGCACATTAGCAAGATTAGCCCCTTTCACAGACTTCTCTTTAAATTCAAAAAGCTACAAGGAACAGCAGCCAATCCACCTCCTCAGCTCCATGCTGCCTTGCAGGAGGCCCACAGTGACTGCCACTCGAGCCTCATGAGCCAACACTGAGAAACAGCGCTGTGCTGAGATGTCTTTGACTATGATCTGAGGGGTTGCCTTGCACAACTCAGCATTTACCACTTACACAGAGGAGACCTACAGCGGTAAAGCAAGGCACGGCTTTCCGCATGAAAGCATTCAGACGTCAACACAGATTTACTTGCAGAAAAATAGCACAAGTCAAAAACAATTCAAGTTTAACACACTGGGGCAGGGAATAGGCTTTTCTGTGCAACGACAATGCCCCGATACAGTCCCAAGGCTTCTGAAGGGTTCAGACTGTAGTCATGCTGTAAGTTGGCACGCTTATATTTTTCCTACCTGTGTAAATGTCAGTGAAGCTATGGAGGGCCAGACACTGGAGGTTCAAGCACACTTTGACCTGAGCTGTAACCACCTGTAATCTATTGGCTGTCAGCAGCCAGCACTCCTGAGGACCAGCAAGGGAACTGCAACAGACAACAAAAGACAACTCGGAGAGTCAAGCCAACAGGTTTTTTCAGTCCAGTCCTGCAGTAACTTCAAATGTCCTAGTTGAGATGAATTCATTAGTATGTCAGGCTAAGCCAGTTCACATCATTTCACACCAGGAAAAAAAAAAATGTTACAATTTAAAATTAATTCCCTTGGCAGAGTCGGGTCACTGCTCACATTCTTTTAACAGCACTACAGCATCTCTCCAGCTCCATACGTTGGGCACATACTATTTGAGAGGTGGAGAAAATCCACAGCCCCAGCTGCCCTGGGAGAAGCGTCAGCCTTATAGCTGTGGAACGACAAATGGTGACTCGTAACAGATTCTACCTGCCAGCCTGTCCCCGCACACACAGAGATTCAGAAAGGGTTGCTCCTCTTCAGTACGGCTGCCAAAGAGAAAGTTCAGACAGGAAAATGCCAGTTGTGCCCTTGTGGCAGAAATACAGCTGATTCCTGTTTTCTCAGGTGGACAAAGCCCAAAGCTACCTCCCTCCCACTGGCAGGGGTTTAATTAGAGCCTACACACAGCAGATGTGAGAGTCCCACACGCGGAGTACTGCAAAGCAGAGCAGCACAGAAGCAAGGATTTACAATGCACAGGTTGGTAAGTCACAAGGTGAGGGACAGGGAGCAAGACAGCACTGTTCTGCAAAAATCACTGAGTCTAAAAAGTATCTCTGCTGGAAAAATCTCAGTTAGCACTGGCCTGACCAAAGCAAACATCCTTAATTGGTATCAAGAAAATCTTTTCGGTTGAGGAAAGAAACACAACAGCAAACTACCCGACATTTCCTGGCTAACAGGAGGCCCCAGATGGCTGGAGGATCACCAATTTAACACCCATCTACAAGAAGGGCCGGAAGGAGGATCTCAGGAACTACAGGCCTCTCAGCCTGACCTCAGTGCCAGGGAAGATTATGGAGCGGCTCATCTTGAGTGCGCTCTCTGGGCACGTGAAGGACAGCCAGGGGATCAGGCCCAGCCAGCACGGGTTCATAAAAGGAAGGTCCTGCTTGACCAACCTCATCTCCTTCTACGGCCAGGTGACCTGCCTAGTGGATGAAGGAAAGGCTGTGGATCTCATCTACCTGGACTTTAGTTAGGCCTCTGACACTGCTCCTCACAGCACCCTCCTGGAGAAGCCAGCTGCCCGTGGTTTGGATGGGTGTACTCTTCACTGGATCAAGAACTGGCTGGATGGCCAAGCCCAGAGAGTGGTGGTGAAAGGAGTTAAATCCAGGTGGCGGCTGGGCACGAGTGGTGTTTCCCAGGGCTCAGTTTTGGGTCCAGTCTTGTTTAACATCTTTACCAATGATCTGGATGAGG